AGTCCAGCTGGTACAATGGGTAGTGTCCCCAGGTGCCAATTGGCTGGGCCCCAGAAGCTCCTGAGAGTGAGTAGCCCTGAGCTGCTTGCCAGGGCAGGTTTTTGTACTGCTGGAGCCAGCACAGGTGCTGGCCCCAGGCTCTAGCTCCCCCTGGCTGCAGATCTGGGAGGAGCCAGGCAGGGTTATTTTACCCGAAGTGGCACAATTTGCTCCACAACAAAGTGCATTCCCGAGCATGTGTGCGGAGGCAAAAATCCCCAGCTCAAATTTGCACCACTGCTATTTGAGCTCCTGCAAGCGCACGTGCTTGCATGTGTGGACGTTCCCATGGAGTACAACTTGTGATGTATCAAAGACCTTTTCCAAGTCTTGAAATATAATATGTAAAAAACTCAGATACATCTCCATGTCCAAGGAAAGTCTCGTTTCACAAACAAATGCAAGCACTGCAGTGATTTGATAAGTAAGATTTTCAGGGGTTTGCCCCAAACAACACAGCTCACTAAAACCACTTCATATTTTTCCACTTGCTTTGACCCAATAACTAGGAACACTAATGGACAAGTTGGTAACTGATTAATTTAATGATGTTTATAACGAGATGGATAGTAACAGATGAAGGATAAGCTATGGATTTGCCACAGGAATATTCTAAGTTACAGGCACATATTTTTTTTCCCTTTTTAAATGCAAAGTAATAAGAAAAGGTTATTTCCTCTATTGTGAAATACTTAATTTAAATGCATTTATTATAATGACATTATTTCTAGTTATAAAAGGCCAATGCACCCAAGCTCAAATATGTTTAATATGGACCTTATTGTACCCCTAATGCCAGAAGAGAAAATGTTTCAGTAAGGTAATGAAAACTGCAAAAACTATTTGTTATCTCACTCATTTCCATTCTTTCCCATTTTTACAGGTTTTTTAATTTTGTGTGTGTTTCTGTCTGCGTGTGACTCATTATTGTCAAGCACTTTGTCTTATTGTTTCACACTTTTGTTGTACATCACAACTACCCTGCTTTCTAACCTGTTAACATGCCTAATGACACTGTCTTGCTGGAAGAAAGGAACATTAAGGAATTAGTAGTGACTGTCTGGAAAGCAAGTGTCAGATGATCAAAGATATTTTACTATCATTATAAAAAGTGACTACCACACTCAGTGTGTGAGGTTAAAGAAACACCTCCCATGAAATTCAGCATTTCAGATTTTTTCTTTGTAGAGGTTTAAAAGAGATCAAATAAAACTTGGTGCAGTTGCAAGGTACAAAAAGTGATTTAGATGCACAATTGGAGGTCAATTGTTCACTATCATCCTCTCTCAAAAGGTGCGCAGGACTCCTCTGAAGCATTTCATAAGCTACATGTAGTCAGGTATAACAGTAAGATACACTGTCATCAGAAGAATAGATATCCTATGATAATACACACATTACAACATGATTTCCAGCATGGAATAATGCCTCTAATATTTACGCTTCTTGACTATCTTTCCACTTGAGAAAATAGACAGCCCAAAACAATCCTAAATCTGGGGTCGTGTTAAGCTTACATATTTCCATTTCAAAAAACCTGTCCAAAGCTAGTCTTCTTCTATTAAACTGGAGCATACCAAAAGGGGTCTGAAAACAGCCTTGAACAAGGGCTCACTGAAGGAGGCTATCAATTTAGTTGTGGATAAAATGAAGCATTTTAGGAGCTTCTCTCACATTCCAAATGTATTATTTTAAAGACTGCTAACAAAACTTCCTTAAGACTTATAAATAGAAATAAGACCCATCTAAACTTCCCTAAGACTTGAGGATTGATTTTGCTGACAAGTATTAAAAATTAGTAACTTTAGACATCAAAGCCATTGTTTTTGTTCTCTGTTCTTAAATTATCTGCATCATAGTCTCAGAAGCACTACAAACATCAAGTCTCAGCATTAACCTTGTTATTTTTCAGGCTGTCAGACAAGCACATGCTTAAGAAAATCACATGCAAATACACATACACAATGTCTACATCTATATCTGTGTTATATATTGTTATAAAAGTCTTTTTTCTATCCTAGAATGTTCAGAAACATCAACTGAAAAGTTTTTTTTACATAGTATTTTTATATTTATAACATTGTTTTGGGTCATTTATAGGTACTGCTTAAAGTGAGTTAATTTGCTAATAACTTCCTGCTTTTTTGAAGACATGTAGAGAAGGACCAAAGAGGACTAAAGGCCACTTATTTTACAAAGGAAACGATACAAAAATACTCTCAGTAAAATTATCAAATTCTCAGAATAATTTTGATCAATATATCGGTAGCATATATACCCTCCAAAGCATGCAGGACAGTGAGATAAAGTTTTAATCAGTGTTTTATATGAGCTACATAATTTGCCAAGGATGCAAAACTGCAGACTATCTCACCTGTACTTTGTTCATTAAGCCATGCCTCTAGGAGTAATTCAAACCACTGAGCATCCTCTTACTCACCCAAAAATGTGTCAACCCCTTTTCTGCCCATCTGGATCAAAATTACACAAGTCCAAAGCAAAGAGTGAGTCATGTTCACATGCATTAAGTGACAGGTGTGTTGCAGGAAATCCCGGTAATTATAGGAGACCCCACAGAAAACGGATGAAGTACAAGCTCTGCCTACACTCGGTCATTAGTGTGGACAAAAGAAGACTGAAAGGAGATTTGATAACAATCTTCAAATACCTTATGAGTACAGAGATAAACTATCATTTGTAGCCATGGGAGATGGGGGTAGAAGCAATGGCTTTAAGCTGCAGCAGGCGAAATTTAGGTTTGAGATTAGGGGGAACTTTCTAAGTATGAGAGTGATCAATATATAAAGAGCTATTCAGACACAGCACCAGAGTTAACTAGGCTATTCTTCACACCTTATCACTGATTTGCACAGACAACACCAACTATAACTGGGCCATTGTTTCAGAGAGGAGATCATTTACAGGCTCAGTCAGTACAAAAGAAATATCATATCATATGATTCCAAATACTCACCTGTGCATGAGAAATCATCCACACGGACATATCCTGGAACACAGTCACAACGATATGATCCCGGCAGGTTAACACACACTGTATTGGCATGACAGTAATGCATCTTAGCAGCACACTCATCTATATCTGAAGGCAAAAAAGAATTAGCAGGAATCAGTCAGAGTTGAATGTCTTAGAATGACACAACATTGAAATAAGATAAGAGAAATTCCAATTACAAGCCTAAGAAGAACCTCAAAAGACAACACATTTTAAACTCACATATTAAACTACTGAGTTTGTAGTAGAAAACTCTCAAGGAAGCATTAAGACTCCTGCAGCACAATAATGTACAGTTCACAGACATTTCCAAAAATGTGAAGTCTTGGGAAACTGAGAAATATTCAAGCCTCCGCCCCCACCCTAATATTTCCTGTTTAAAGCATTAAAACAACAAAAAGTAATCACATAAACAAACCAAGTGATGCATGCTTCAGGTACTGCTCTTTCCAGTATCACTGGAACACTTTAAGTGTAGACAGAAGTGACAATCTGGCCACACAAAGCAGTTTATAGCTGTGACCAAACAAGTACATGGCTGCAAACTGCTTAAAAAATGGCCAATTAGTTGAAAATCTGACCTGTCATTGCATGAGATATCAGATAAAGATGTCACAAAATGTAGTGTCTTCTGTAATTTGTGTCTGCTGAGCTCCCAGCCTACCCGTTTTCAGCATGGAAGGGAGAAAGGGTGCAGAGGGAGTTCAGTCTGGCGGGTTTTCAGCCCCACCTACAGGTTGGGGCAAGTGTATAGCAGCCCCCCTCCCAAGGGGGGTGGCTCCAATTCACCCACCCCACCCTCCAGCAACTTCTGTTCTGTCTGGAGTAACATTGTAACTCAGAACACTTTGCAAAAATCTTTCTGAGTTACAGCTTGGAGCTGCACTTCTGTCTGCACTCTTTTTTCATGCCTCCTTCCTCTAGCTAAGTGTGACACACCTTGATCCCAGGCACACTCCCAAGGCCACACCTTCAGGGGTGCCCCTCAGCCCCAAACCTCTTTTATCATCTGCTGCTTCACCACTGAGAAAAGACTGAGATGCTTCAAAGGTCACCTCCCTAATCAAAGTTACCTCAAATGATTCAACTCAATCAGGTTTTGCCAGCTCTTAGCAGATTTTGCCAACTAGAAAAATCACACCCCAGAAATGATAGATTCCCCTCTTCCTCAGAGGAAGCCTGCCTGTATGGTCAAATGTTCTGAAATCACACCTACCATTAACAGCAATGATTGTAAAAGACAACAAAAGGATTTATTATGAAAAGAAGGTCAAACACAAGAAATCAGTAACCATATGTTGAGATAAAGATCTAAGCATAAACCAACAAAACAAAATATCAAAACAGTACTATAGTCTTGTCTTGCATCTGACACCTAATATAGCTTCAATTCAGCTCAACAAGTTAGAATGTAGCTCCCTCCCCCCGACCTTCCTGACAGGGCTCCATGAAACTTCCCCTGTCTTCCTGTTTCACTGCCTTGTTGCATGATAATTTTAGGTGGCTTCTAGAGCTCTTAACCCTGGGGTTGACTGCATGGTACCGCCTTAAATGGCTTAAGGCATTCATTATATCGATTAAAGTTATGCCACTCCAGCGCAGGATTATTTTTAATTCACCTAATTTTGTTCCTGTTCCATTAAGGTATGGCCACTTTCCACAGCTATTCCACCCAAGCTGAAGTCCTCCAGCATCCAAGGATGTAGTGGGACCTCCTGAGACAGGGCTAGCAGATCTATACTCTTATTTACATCCTTTCAGACATAAAGGGCATTTATACACGTGATCTGGGAGATGGGGAGAGAGGCGCTTTATTTAGAGTGGTTTCAAGGGTCACTCAGATTAAGACGTCTGGAACATCACGTGTATCAGCATCCCCACACTGAAAAATTGCCGTGGGGGAGCTTAAACTAAAGTAAACGGGGTTTAGTTAAAGCACCCCTGCCGCCACTTTCGAGCATGGGGACGTTGATACATGCAACGCTGGAGTCTGCTGGAGCACAGTAATTACCACGTTGCAGCTATAATTACAGTGCATCAGAACATCTTTGATGCATGTGTATAGGTGCCTGTCGCAGTGCACTCAGGTGCCCTGCGCCTGAGAGCGGGGACTGCTCTGGGGAGACCCCTAGTGGCAGAAAGGGGGAGGCTCAGCTGCCAGTCACCAGGGCTGCACAGGTGCTGGTTGCCGGGACAACTGGTAAAACCAGCTGACCAGGAAGGGGCAGGGCTTATCCTTTCTTAAGCCCAGGTAGGAGGCCAGGAAGGCAGTCCCTCTCCAGCAGCTGTGGGAGCAGGGACTCAGCCCAGACAGACAGAGGGGAGGATTCTGGCCATGAGAGCATCCCCGGGTCACTGCTGAGGTTGGTGGAGCCCTTCTTCCCCCACTCCCTTGCTCTCTGGTAGGGAGTAGATTTTTGTTCCACGGACGGTCTAGTTTTTATGTTGTAGCCCAGGGGCTTTATGTTTTATGTTTACTGTTTTGGCTGGAGGACCGGGTGAGGCTAATAGGGGTTGGAGGAGGCCTCAGTGGGGCTCCACAGGGGTGGGGACCCCGGTGCCAGTGAGGGCACCGCATTTAGGGGTGCACTACCCCAGCCCTGAGAGAGGACACAGAGGATTTAGGGGCCAGGCCCGGCTAAGGCCACCTGAGCCCCAATTGCAAGGAGCACCAGTGTGGGCACCGGCGAGAAGCCCGGAGGGTGCTCGTGTTGCGCCCCAGGGTGGGCACACATGAATATGCTATAGAGACAAGCCCCAGGGGAGGGCGATCCTATAGAGGCGGGTGCACAGAGAGAGGCCCCGAAGGGGCAAGCGCACAGAGAAAAGCCCCGAGAGGGCTAGCGAGCAGAGGGGCGCCAGTGAAGGGCGCCGGTTGCGTGACAAGCCCGGGGCGCCAGTGAAGGGCGCCGGTTGCATGACAAGCCCGGGGCACCAGTGAAGGGCGCCAGTTGCGTGACAAGCCCGGGGGCACCAATTAGGGCGCAGAAAGGAAACAGACCAGACCACGTCAGCTCCATCTGTGAGGCTTGGGCTGAGGTGTAGGGGAGGAAAAGGAGCCGCAAGTAGCACCCCCTGTCATCGGGGCGCAGAAAAATGGGCAGCCTCCCGCTGATTACAACCATCTTCTAATCAAATAAGATCAAGGTGTGGCAGGCGAGTAAGCAGGCAGTTGGCCCATTACAGGAGGGCAGAGCCACTCCCAGAAAGGCTCCAATATTGATACTCCCATCACAGTGCCCAAAGATTACTAATCCAATATCTGAAAGAGACACTCTCTCACTTCATTTCCCTACTGTGAGGAATGTCTTCTCCTAAATAGCCTGTTCTTGGGTGTTATTCTTATAGGTGTCTTCTCTCAAGATCATGCGCAACTGGTGCCACCTTAGTCGGTGGGGGGCATGTGCCCCCCCCAGCAACCAATCAGCAACTGGAGGGGGGAGGGGGTTCACCCCACAACAAAACATACCAACCAGTGAATGGCCGTGCTGCTCCCGAAAGCGACCACGGCACTCTCAGAAATGGTTGCGCCCTACATCCAGTGCTCCCACTCCCCGGCTGGTCAAGGGGTGCACCTCCTATTCATTCTCACTGCTCAAGATGTAAATTCATCATTGTCTGGAAGGGCCAGTATCACGTGCCACAGACAACATCTACATAAATCTATTGGACTGGCCATTAAGCCTACCTATGTCAGATGCTAATTCTCACTGATTACTTCTCTCAGCTATTTAGGCTTCTCCCAGCTACTAAACTCATTGTTTAGAGAGCAACATCTGAAGATCACTATCATGTTAATCAATCCTAGCCCTTTTATACCACATGAGATACAGTTATATCAAATATCATAATATATATAAGGACAATAAGACTAAATGCAGCTTGATGCTACCTACACAGAGTACACATGCCATTATCAGTAAAACAGGCTCAAGAAAACATGCATGGCATTCCACAAATACCTCAAACTATAGGTTTGTGACACCAAATCTCTGAAACAAACCTGTGTTCAGGACTAGAAGGAAGGTAAGTGGAATTTTACTAGCTACATTGGCTCTGTGACACTGAGATAATGTCTGACACAAAGGAAACCTCAACTGCCCAAAGACAGCAGACGTAAGTTTGCTTTCCATTTTTTCCAATGAAATGAAACAAACAAAAAAGCTGAAGACTCAACCCAGTGCCTCCACTTGTTATTAGCAGATTATTGCAGCTAATGTGAGTCCAGCACTCAATTTTTGTTGTTTGATTAAGGGAACTGAAACTGCCATTTGCTAAACTGTTTAAATGCTATGAAGCTCAGCTAAAGATGATTCTTCCTCCAAAATACAAGTTATTTTTACTTCAGGAGCGAACAATTACCTTTACTGATTGGAACTGATTTTTCACTCATTTTAGGAAGAAGAGACTCTATTGACTTCCCAAGAATTATTCTAGAGTGCCTGCATGCCAGTGTAACAGAATGAACAATTGGGCCTATTTTTTACTGCATTCTCTTTACAAGTTATTTTTTATTGACGTTATGCTCAATATAGACACTGAATTGACAGCATATCTGAAAATAAAAGTCTCCTGTTTCCTCTGTAAAAAAGGTGCAGAACAGACAGGTTCTCAAACCCTTCTTATCACACACATGCCTCAATCCGGCCTGGAAGAATGTCCATAAATGTGAAAAATACTTCCATTTTCTTTCTGACAACAGGCCTTTCCTATTCATAGCAGCTCACATAGACATATACAACCTAGCTTTGAACTCCCTGGTTTGGGTGTTACTAAGCTTAGTCATGGCAGCAAGGAGCCCAACACAAGCTAGAAAACCTTCCTGAGATGCTCTGCTGAGGTTATCCATTGGTGCTGCTTCCATAGCAACACTGCTAGCAGTACCAAAACTAGTTAGATTAAAGCTAGTTCAGAAATGTCTATCCATGTTTTGCAATGTAGACAGACCTTCCACAACCTCTGTACTGAAATTACAACAAACATGCCAACAAACATTCTGGTTTCTGCACTATGGACATCCATTCCATCAGGAACTAGAGGGACCACTAATTAAATCGTTTCACATTGGCCATGAAACAGCTGTCAGT